TCGAGGGCGGGAGGCAGTCCCGCACGACGCCGAGACCAGAGGCGACGCTGGCACGCCGAGACGAACGGCACGAGCGGCGGCAGGACGCCGGCGCCGGAGAGCCAAGCGGAGGGAGGGCCATGGGCTGAAGCCGCGGCCGGAGGGGCTGGGGAGTCTGTCGCGTGGCGGCAGTCTGGCGCCTAGCCAGGCGGGCACGCCACGTCATCAGGCAGATGACGACGGCGACGATGATATCGAGGAAGGCGAGGACGTCGAGATGGATGACTCGCGGCAGACAAATGCCCATAATTCGGGCGCTGACACGCCCCAGATCACGGTGGCTGCGCCAGGCGGCGACAGCATGGAGGTCGACAGCTAGGACATGTCGAAATCGACTTTACTTGACTTCGTCACGAGACTTCGTGTTTCTGACGTCCCCTTCCCACCATGTAGACAGACCGCCTCATTTCATGATGCATGTTCTGAATATAAGTTTTCGCGCTTTCCTCCCCCCATTATTTAAGCAATGCCGTTGCGAACCGTGTTCTGCGCCTCTTGGCCCTTGGTCAACGCCACCCTCGCAAGCTCCAACTCCTCAGCAGGTGTGCCGTTGCTCTCCGCCAGCGCAATCTGCTCCTCGAGCTTGATCGTCGCGTCGCCGATGCGCTCCTTTATGCGGGGGAAGACGTTCTCCGTCTCGACAACAGCCTGCTTCTACATGGACGTCAGCCGTGAATGCAATCCACCGGCGCTCCCACCCACCAGGGGCAAGCAGCGACGACTTGTTGTGCTCTGAGGCTGATCCTTTCCCGGGGAGGGGCGGCACTTGATGCTGGATGCAGTTCATCCAGGGGGAGGCGGAGGCTTACCAGCTGCTTCAGCATGTGCGCGCGGTTGCCATCCTCGTCTGGCAGACCAGACTGCACCTCGGCGTCGAGCGTCGTGACCTTGCCCTGCTGCTGGATGAGCTCCTGCTCATACGAGATCTCCTCGCGCAGGAGGCGGGTGACGGCCTGCGTGGCAATGGCGAGCTGCGAAGGGGCGGGCATGGTTGCAGGGACTGTTTGTCTGCGCCGGGTTGTGTGATGTTCTTTTTTCTCTCTGGGGGGGTACGGAAATAGGAGGAACGAGTGCTAGGTGGAAGTCAGAAGTGTGGATGCGGGGTCGTCAACGGAGCGAAGCGCGATCAGCGGTTTGACGGGTGGGCGGAAAATGGCGTTCGAGTCTAATGCAGGAACCAAAGGTGGAGTTTACTTCTCTAGAACGGAAGGGGACAAAGAGCAAACGAGAAAGAACTATAGCGCCGGGAAAGAGTTGGCTCTTTATGTGCTTTGCGTTTGGATGAACAGGGCAGATCTGGATGCAGGTTATTTATTGCTGGGAAGAATGACGAGGCAAGCAAGAAACAGGCTGATGCGAAGATGCTCCAGCTGTGGAGGGGCGTGTCTACGCAACCCACAGCGGATGATGTCAGGTGTCCAAGGGTCATTCTTGGCTGACCACTGGCTCGTGGAGTCGTGGTGTTTGCGATTAATAGAGACACCGTGCTTGGTGCTTGTCGGCTCCGGGTTGGAAGCATGCCAAGTAGACACAGCCGTACGTTTCTACGCATGCCAGTGCCTGGAGTTCATCTTCATATATCTTACACAGGCTGAGACGAACTAGGTATCCCGCTTCAGTCTTTCCATGACACCAATCTACAAGTCAGCAAAGCCGCAATGAAGCTTTACGGTTTAGAATGACGAACAACATATTGAAGCTATTTGTTGTCGTTGTCTCAGCTGGCAACCCTTCGATGCAGCTGCCAGAGACTGTGTCCATCTCGCTCAACCCCGAGCAGCGCGACAGCAGCGCGACCTCAGATTGCAACATCACAACATGGCGTATCGCGTTACGCTAACATCCTGTATTAACCGCACGGCTACAAGAAGTATCCTATCGTCCATGCCTTCAATAAATCCAACAAACCCCCATCCAAAAGCCTCGCTCAGACAGCACAAAGAAACGATGCCGCTCGAAGAGTTTCCCACCTGCAGGCCATGCTTTTCATCTCTCCCCAGCTCACCCCGTTCGCCTGACAGCCGTCCTCTTGACATCCTTCGCAATCAATCAGTCGTCCCGTGCCGTGGTATCGAAAAAGTCCCTTCTCGACGGGAATAACGCCTCCAACGCCGCATCGTCCAGGCCTCAGAGCCTGAGCCGAGTAAAAACGGTCCGAGTAGTAATACAGGTCCAGGCATGATGAGGATCCGCGCGCCAAGAAATAAAAAAAGAGTCGTCATCTTTTCGCGCGTCCGTCATGATGCACATTACTACTCAGGGCAGCCAGCCAGCA